CAACATCAGACAGATTAGGAAATGCTAAGTCAGTGGTGTTTTCTAGAAAACTGACAGGAATTCGCTGCTTGGAAATGTGAACTCTAAAACAGGGATAAAAGTAGTGAAGCCAAAAGATTTGTCAAAGAAGGCAAGAAATTTGGGAGTTATGGGTAGAGAGGGAACAAGTTCAGTCATTGGACCCTATTCATTAAGTAATTATTTTATCATTGACTACAAGGTTAAAAATAAATGTATGCCAATATCCTGTGGGCAGGCTCTGTAAGCAGTGCCTACAGTTAGTTCTTGGGCCATGCAGGAGCCTTGTTGTCCCATGAGGGGCAAATGACCTCTATGCTCTTAGAAAGAGTGCAGATTTAGGAAAGGATCTGACACAAAGTTAACCTTCGAATGAGACTTGTAGGAGAGAGTCTCAAGACTATGGGAAATGGGTAAGGGCATGACTGGCCTTAAAGTAGGAAGGCAGTTATGACAGTTACCAACCACATCATACCAGAGGCCTAGTTATGGGGCCTTGGAGAGGGAGAGAGCCTTGGCTTCAAAACCCTAGATAAGCTGAGAGAGAGATCGAGAGAGAGAGAGAGAGAGAGAAAGAGAGAGAGAGAGAGAGAGAGCACAGTATGGTGAGGGATCTGAAAAAATGCTTTCAAATCCCCCAGAGTGAATAGACAAGCTTCACACCACATGGTCTAGTATTGCCCAGACTTAGTGGTTCTGGGTGGGAGCCAGTTCCTAGCTGAGGCTATAAACTTACCTTACAGATTCAAGACCACCCAGCAGGGCTTCTTATTAACTCTGTGTCTCAGGGAGAGCTGCAGTGGGTGCGGCCTCATTTTGAAAAAGGGAGAGAAGCAGCTATAGGGTCTGCGGTCTAACTTGTTGTCCTGCCCACAAGCAGCACTAAACCTGAGCACACCCGGCTCCATCATGAAGAGATCAACTTCCGTGTTTCCCAGTGCAGTGCTCATTAGCAGCAGGTCAGGAAAAACCAGGGAACAGGTTTTGGTGCTCATATTTTCAAGTCACCCTAACACCATCTTAATCTTCAATTAAAGTTGCAAGGAACTTGATACACTTGCAACTGTTTTTTGTTTTCTGGAAGAAAGGCAAGCTTCTGCTGTTCCTTCACTCTGTCAAAAGCCTGCTTAGCCTGTCCACAGGTCTCTCTCTTCCTTTGTGGGAAAGACATCAAAGGTGCTTTCATAGTTCACTGTCAACAGGCTTTTTAAAGGTTTACCCTGGTTTCAAGGAGTGAATGGTTCTCTAGCTAGCTGCCTGGCTTTTGTAGCTCCCGCTGAGACAGGGCACGGAGAAGGCTGAGTTGAGGCCCAGAGAAGAGAAGAACTTCGGGGAGCCTGAAGCTCCATCAAGGAAAGGGTCTTTGCAAGGAAAAATAATTAAAGGGGGACTGAGTGGCAAAAAAAGGCCTGAAGAGATTACTGTTGTCAACGGGAGGAGAAGCCCCTAAATCAGCATTCCTCCGTCTATGGGTCCCGATCCCTTTGGGAATCAAATGACCCTTTCACATGGGTCACCAAGACCATCAGAAAACCCAGATTATGATTCATAACAGTAGCAAAATTACAGTTATTAAGTAGCTTCTATGGAAGCCGTGAGGTGCCCTGGGGCTGTGGGGCCAGGCGATATAAACGTGAATGATTCCCCAAAGCAGAAGAGAACTGCTTGAAATCCCTTCATTCTAGAGCACTGCGTGACACACCCAAGGGGCTAGGTACAGCTCCAGAAACCCTTGGCCTTGCTTGGCACACACTACTACTGTTGGTGTACAGTGGACTTCCGAAATGTTAGACATGGATCTACCAACAATTGCCAAACTAACAAAGGACCACTGTCCAGTAAGTGTGGCCTTCTTACCCAGTGGTTGCAAATCAGTTCTGTAGCTAACTCAAAAGCTCATCCCAGCCGGACAGTGGTGGCGTACCCCTTTGATCCCAGCACTTCAAAGGCAGGCAGATTTCTGAGTTCGAGGCCAGCCTGGTCTACAGAGTGAGTTCCAGGACACCCAGGGCTAACCTGGCTTGAAAAACCAAAACCAAAAAAAAAAAAAAAGAATTGCTCATCTCTGTGTTCCAGTTCCATTTCAAAGATAAATACTGCTTCCTTTCAAACCATTCCATTGCCTGAGCAACAGACTTGAGCAAGGTTTTCTACTAGTTTATGCAAATACTCACATAAAACTCCGACAATGGTGACTCTCCAGGTGACTGAGCATCTCCCAGCAGAGGAGTTAAAACTGTCAACCTGAGCAGGTTGGGAAGGGATTTTCTTGAACCCCACAGGTACTGATCTCAGTGGAGGGCGTGGGAGTAATTGATTTGCATAACTCTCACTTGCTTGGTTTGGATTCAAACTTACTGATTCAAATATGCAGAAAACCCGAGGCAGGGACTGAGTAGGTGTGAAAGACTGCCTAATGGCTCGGATTCGCATCAATTAGCATTTCAAAAAGTGTCAAGCTGCTGGAAGACCTTTTTTTAATTATTGCTGATCAGAGATTCAAAAGGGAGCAAAGAGCTATTTGTGCGTGCGAATCCAGAGTCCCGTGCAGGAGAAAGGTGTCCAAGAAAGAGAATTCTCTCTCTCTCTCTCTCTCTCTCTGTCTCTCTCTCTCTCTCTCTGTCTCTCTCTGTGCTCTCTCTCTCTCTCTCTCTCTCTCTCTCTCTCTCTCTCTGTCTCTCTCTGTGCTCTCTCTCTGTCTCTGTGCTCTCTCTCTCTCTCTCTGTGTGTGTGTGTGTGTGTGTGTGTGTGTGTGTGTGTGTGTGTTGGAAGTTGGCTGTGAAGCTTCAGACATTTATAGGAAAACATCTCTGGCATCAGGTGACTTCAGAATCCCCAGAGCTCGATTCTCTCTGGAACTTCTTAAATGTTCCATTCGAGGTGGAGCCTTGGCCTCAGGGTACCTGCATTTTGTATCAATGTGGGTAATGAAGAGACAGTATCCAACATTGGAGGTGGGGGGAGATTCGTTTCTGTTCCTATGCTTGTCCCTTTGTTGTGGCTTTTACAATGGAGTCATCTCCACTAACTCATTGTTAAACCACTCCGCTCTACTGGAGACATGTCTCTTTAAGCAGCTGAAGTAGTAAGTGGGCAGGAGGCTGGGGCCAGCGTGGAAATACACAGGATTTAAATAAGAAGAGGCGGAGGCCGGGGGCTCCAGCAGAGGTACCAGGCACAGCCACCACCCCTGCATTGGCAGACTCTCAGGGCAGGTTGGGGGTGGGAAGCTTTGCAGAGGAAGAGCAATGGCTTCGGACGGACATGCTCTGGCTGGAGGCTGTTGGCAGTGAGAAAGCTGGAAGCAGGCTGTTCAGAAGAGGGGACGTGTTAAATGGCTTCAGGCAGGTTGGCTTTCTCTCTGAGGTTCCCAGGAGAGGAGAGGCCGGGATGGAAAGAGGGAAAGCTTCTGTCACTGCCAAGTACTGACCCTTCACTTCTGATCGCTACAGAGGGTGGGGTTTGGCTGCCAGGGCCGGTTGCTATGGAGATTGTGGGTCAGAATCGCGTTGTTCTATGCGGTGTAGCTATTGTCCGCCTGTATACTCAGCCTCGCACCAGGGTTCTACTCGGTACAAGATCAGGCAGAGGAAACGACATATTTTTGGAGGGTGTACTAAAATCTGGAGCACAAATGGTAATTAGAAATGCCTCCCGTTCCAACCAAATGACACTTGGGGGAGCCCCAGTCTTTGGCCACATTAGCGCTGTGAAGCTGTGGCTATACAGACTCTCCCCTGTCCCCACACCTTCACAGCCCTTTCCTGGCTCCATGATCCTCAGGCCTCTGGAAGGTCCATATGGAGACCTGGTTGCCAACTAGCACATTGGATTTGGATGCCTATGCCTAGAGACAGGAACGAATAAGATGTCAGAATGATGGGCCAGGTATCAGGACCGGCAACCATGGGGCCTCTGGGTATGGTCTGCTGACCTGGTCAAAAAGGCCCTGGGTCCTAGGTGCACAAACACAGAAACTGTACATCACCCAGGCACAGAATACATGGGAAACCGGGAAACTAGAGTACCCTGCTGTTATCTCAGATCCCTTAACCTGGAATAAGGACTGTTCGAAACTTCAGCCCAGACTGCTCAGAGTAGCACCATGAGTATAAGATTCCCTGCCCGTGAGGAGCAGCACAGCACAGTCTATAACAGAAGACAGGTTAGCTAGTGTCTTAGTTAGGGTTTTACTACTGTGAACAGACATCATGACCAAGGTAACATTATAAGGACAACATTTAATTGGAGCTGGCTTACAGCTTCAGAGGTTCAGTCCGTTATCATCAAGGTGGGAACATGGCAGCATCCAGGCAGGCATGGTGCAGGAGGAGGTGAGAGTTCTACATCTTCATCTAGGCTTCTAAAGGAAGACTGACTTCTAAGCAGCTAGGAGGAGGGTCTTAAAGCCGGCACCTACAGTGACACACCTACTCCAACAAGACCACACCTCCAAACACTGCCACTCCCTGGTTCAAGCATATACAAACCATCACAGTTAGAAAAAAGTAAAATAAGGCTTGTAAAACACGCTATAAAAAAGCATTTCATGTTAAAAAAAAAAGAAATTAAAAAAAAAAAGAAAAAAAAAAAAGAAAGAAATGAGCAGCCGAAGAATGCTGCTTACCACAGTTCTGGAGTTTGGATTTTGGTTTGAGTTTTTCTAACTTTGGTTATTTGTTTTTCCTTGTTTTCATTTGGAGTTTGTTATTGATTTTTTGTTGTTGTGTTCTTGTAATTGATTTGATATTTTGATAAGGCTATACACTGTACATACTGGCTGCCCGGTTTCACTTACTATTGAGTATATTGAATGTATTCTTATGAATGAAAAAAAAAAAAAGAAAAAAGTAAAATACATTTTTCCTGTTGGGTGGCTATAGGCCAAATTAGGAAACCAGCACAGCCTTCTTGTCTAGATTTTTATTGTCCTGCCAGCTGTAACATTTCTTCCCAGGTTTAGAGCAGGACACTAGTTGGCTTGATTCAGACAAGGATGAGTCAGATGAGTTCTTTCCTAAAGGAAAAAAAAAGGTTATTCATTTTATATGTATGGAGGTTCTGCCTACCTGCATGTATGTGGGTCACGTATATGCCTGCTGACTACAGAGATCAGAAGATGACATTGGAGCCCCTCTTAGAACTGGAGCTATGGATGGCTGTGAGCCACCACATGAGTGCTGGAAACTGAACCCTGGTCTTCGGCAAGAACAAGTGCTCTTAATTGCTGAGCCACCTTTCCAGTCCCAGATGACCCTTTGCTTTGTAGTCAAGTTCCTAGAGCTCCTATCCTGTGCCTTTGTGTCTCTGTTTTGTGACAGACTTTTCCTGGGAGATACAACACACATGTGTGTACACACACACACACCTACTCACCCAAGAGAGGGAGCCCATGACAGGCCAAAGTATGGATACCACCAAAGTCCAACTTGGTGAACCAATGGGGTTAATTATTAGGGTTACTTACAAGAGTATGGGTTAAGGGTTACTCATAGGAGCAGAAATGACTCAAAAACAGCTAACTGCATTACCGAAGCCCACTCTAGCATGGGTGATAGCTCAGAAAAGCTGGGGACCTGGAGCTCACTGCACAGCCTGCAAGCCACTCAGCAGGTTGGAGAGTGGCCGCTCCAGGTGCCCCAGTTGGTCTAAACTCCTTCCAGGCAGCTTGGCTGGTTTCTGCTATTTACAGTCAATTGATTTGGTCTTATTTGCAGCTTGGCTTATCTGAGAGTGACTCTCACCTGTCTTTATTGTTTATATAGTCTTGGGGATGGAGGGGGTCTCATGACAGTGGCAGCAGTCATAGGTGATTTGTATCTTGATGAGAGGTTATACATCCTTTAGGGGATCCAGGGTAGTCAAAGGGATAACTTCTCTTGATTGCAGCATACCAGGCTCAACCCTCTTAAGACTCAATCACCTCCCTGTCTCAGTTGAAACAAAAAGAAAATAGTGAAATATGCGAATACTTTAAGACTTTGTGTCTTGCTCTGAGGATAAGGATTCCAGTTCTATGATCAGCTTTAGCAAATAAGATGCCTCCCTTTTGGGAGAGAATGAAGAGTGAGAGCTGGCAGGGCAGGAGGTCAGAGAAGGGCAAGTTCTGTGGCTGCTTAGGAAATCATCAAAGTACTCGGCATGCCTATAGAGTATCATTCTTTGAACTTTCAAAAGAGCAGGTGAAATAAGTGTTCTCAGCTGGTCATGGGGAACAGACCACCCTAAAAGAACTCTATTCTCTCTGAAGCGAGAAATTGTATCACTCACTGTGAGGACACCATTGGCATGACACTAGCAGACATGGCTTCCTCATTTGCCTTCACTCTTCCTTCCCCAGGACCTCTGAAGCTGGGCTCCCCAGCTAGAGAAGAGTCCTGAGCTCAGTGAAAGCCCTACCGAACTCCCTGCCCTGAGTGCCATCTGTCCTCACTGCTACTGAAAGGAAACCAGCCCTTGAGAAGCAGAAGGGATTGTTACCAGGTACTCTGGGGAGACCTGTGTTGGGTGTCATACGTTGCTGGAAAATTTGTTTTTTTTTTTCCTTTTGGATTCTTTATCTCATAAATAAAATAATTTAGAAAGGGACCTGAAAAGATGCTCAAGGGCGATATCATTACAATTTAAGAGAAAAACAACAAGGCAGGCAAGTTGTAAACCTTGGCAGCTGCCAGGAGGAGAGAGAAAAGAAAAGAAAAAGGAAGGGAGAAAGCTATATTATTTACAGAAGCTACAACAGAAAGTGAGACAGGGAGGAGAGCTTCAGAGAAGGAATGAGAAACTTAAGAGCGACAGAGGAAGCATGATTAGGCTTTGGGGAAAGAAAGAGAAAGAAGAAAAGGAAAGCAATGCTGCATCCTAGAAGTTCTGCAAGCATATACATTGCAAGGGGATAACGATTCCTCCCATCTCCTCAGCATGGCTTTAGGTGAAGCATCTTTTTTTTTTTTTTTTTTTTTTTTTTTTTGGTGGGTCATTTAATTGACAGAGCGATTGACAGGACCAGCTGAATTAACTCTTAAATGACACAGTGGTATGCAATGCTCTAATCTTTGGAGCAGATCAAAATGTCCTGTTTCCATCCAGGGCCAGAGGTAGATTTCATCTTTTGACAAAGAGGAAATAGTTTTCCTTTATGAGCCCCAACTGAGCCCTGGTATCCTCAGTGGCCTTCTAGACTAGTGTACAAGAACTTTAGGTTTAGAATTAGGAGACTTGGTGTGAAATGACTCTAGCCAAGGAACTTGACCTCTCACTACTATTTTAGGACCTGATAAATGTAGGATGGTGTCATACCGAGGCAAGCTGCAGTTTCACTCTTTTTATTACATGCCACAAAGCTGAAGACTCTAAGAAACAGATGTCTGGGGATGGGTTTTGTTCTCCTGTTCCTTATGAATACCTAGTCGTGATGGTTAAAACTGGTCACTAGACGGGATATGAAATCACCTAGGAGACACGATACTGCATATGTACTCAAAGGAACTTCTAGATTGATTTACCTGAGGTGGGAAGACCCATTGTAAATGTTGGTGGCACTATCCCATGGGCTGGGGTCCTAGATTGAATAAAAAGGAGAAAGATGGTTAAGGACCAGAGTGCATTCACCTCTTTTTCTTGCTTGTAGACACAATGGGACCAGCTGCCTCACCCTCCTGCCGCCATGACTTTCCCATTATGATGGACTGTGCTCTTAAAGTTTGAACCAAAAACAAACTTCTCTTTGGTTAGATTATTCTGGTCAAGTATTTTGTATGGCAATGAGAAAAATAACTAACACGAATGACCTGTAAACTACACTCTTTTTTTTTTTTTTTAAACAGGGTTTCTCTGTATAGCCCTGGCTGTCCTGGAACTCACTCTGTAGATCAGGCTGGCCTCGAACTCAGAAATCTGCCTGCCTCTGCCTTCCAAGTGCTGGGATTAAAGGTGTGCGCCACCACAGCCTGGCTAAACTACACTCTTTATCTGGCCATTCTTTCCACCGCCACAAACCAGGATCTAACATCTGACTTAAATTTCTATATTTGTTATGTGTACCAGTGTTATGCCTACGCGTATATATATGCATCATGTGGATGCTTGGAACCTGTGGAAGTGAAAAAAGAACTTTGGATCCCACTGAGATGATGGATGTTTGTGAGACAGCATGCATGCTGGGAACCAAACCCAGATTCTCTGCAGGATCAACAAGTACTCTTAACCACTGAGCCATATGTACAGCCAGTTCTTCTTCTTCCTCTTCCTCTTCTTCTTCTTCTCCTCCTCCTCCTCCTTCTCCTTCCTCTTCCTCCTTCTCCTTCCTCTTCCTCCTTCTCTTCTTCCTCTCCTCCTCTTCTTTTCCTTCTTTTTCTCCTCCTCCTTCTCCTCTTCCTCTCCCTTCTCCTCTTCTTCCTTCTCCTCTTCCTCTTCCCCTTCCTCCTCCTCTTCCTCCTCCTCCTCCTTTTTGTTCTTAAATTAAGTCAGGATCTACGTAGCCCAGGCTAACCTGAAATTCACAGCATTCTCCTCAGCCTCCCAAGTACTAGGGTAATAGGTGTGACATTATGTCTGGCCTTTTGTTCTTTCTTTGTTTGAGGCAGTTTCTAGAACTTTCTCTATAGCCCAGTCTGGCCCTAAACTAGAAATTCTTCTACCTCAACTCATGAGTGCTAGATTTATAGATATGTACCACTACACTGGGATTATGACTCAGTAACTCCTCCTTCAGGGTAGAAGTTCAGTATTTACTTCAAAGGGAAACAGCAAGACAAACTTCCCTCTAATCTTGACTAGAAATATTTCTCAACAAGAAGGCATATAATACCCTGAACGAAAAGGGGAAACCTTTTGGAATTTTAACTTGCATAGTCTTTCTTGCTGTAGACACACAGCTCTACCTGGAAAGCACTGTCAGTCAAGTGGGCCTCGCTAAGCAAGAGGCATCCCATCTGCTGCAAAGAGAAGGAAAATAGTCCCATGACAACAAGGAGCTTTTGTCCAGTCTCCCCAGAGAATCTGGGTTGTCCCAGATTGTTCTCCCTTTATATTCTGGAGACCAGGCCTCCATTGGAGGAGGAAATCCTTTGTCATGAAGAGACTTACTGTTTTTTTTTTTTTTCAAACATGATTACATGAGTTAGGAAAAGATGAGTTTTATAGCCAGCCATGGAGGCGCGTACCTTTAATCCAGCCATGGAGGCACGTACCTTTAATCCAGCCATGGAGGCGCGTACCTTTAATCCAGCCAT